AAGCAAATTTCTAAACCCTATAAGAAGGGAGTATAAAATTGTAAGTGTAATTATCATTTTTGTGATGATAATCACAAGCCAATCTACATTATTATTAGCTTCTTTTAATATACTTCATTTGCATGAAGATATAAATTATTATTAACTAATTTACATTTCTTTGTATAAAAAACTAATTTACATTTCTCAAAAAAATTTGGTTAAAATCTTGATTTTTTAAAAAACTTCACATTTTTTTCAATCATGCCCTTGAATGGAATAAATATAATATTTGACTTACTTAAAACACTTTATTAAATAATTGAGTATAATATAAAAAAATATGGGTATAATTGAAAGAATATATAAAACTTACCTAATATCTTATATTTTGGATCAAACAGAACATCTAGAAAAGGCTCTATATTGAAGTCTAGAATAGTTTTTTTTTTATGACAATTTAATCTCGTATGATATAGTCATATTTTGACTTTTACAATTGCATAGTCATATTAAATGTTATTAATACATGCATCAAATATATTAAGTAGTAAAATTAGCAGCCCAATGCATAGTTTGACTTTTATTATTTCACTAAATTTTGTTATTAGAGCCCTATAATTAATTCAAGTAAAGCAAACTAATAGTTATGGTATTTCCATAAATTTTTTGTCTTATGACTATAATGTTTCTTTTATTGGAAAAAATAAAATAAAAATTTCTTTTCATCAATCAAGTATTTATGGATTTACTTTCTATATCCTTGTTTTGGCAAATCATCTATATACTTTTGCCGTCCCAAATTATAAAATACTTTTGGATAAAATTTCACATACTAATTAATCTCATTAAATACACTTAATAAGTTTATTCTTTCAAAAAAATATAAATTTCTAAAAACACCCTTCATTTAATATATTAAAAAGAAAGAAAGATGAAAATTAAATAGAGAGAGAAAGGGTAATAGTGGTGTTAGCTTGGTTTCGGGTCAAAGCGTCGCACCTCTTAAGGTTTTGCCAGGTGTGTCAAATGAGTAGATTCTCGAGGTGAAAGTTAGATCAAATGATTGTGTGGGTTTTCAAGGTCCTATACTATAATTTCCTCGGAGTGCCAAAGTAGAATGAGAAACTAGGAGCATGCCAAGTGATGCATGATATTTGATTGGCTTACTAGTAAATACAAAGAGTGCTCTTCTAGATAGAGGGAAATATAAAGAAAATAGCCTAGGGAGTCTAAACTATAATAACAAAGAGACTCACATTAGGCAAACTTTGAGTGATGCTAGGTCAATTGTTTAAGTATTACATTGGGCAAGTTAGTTTGACTAGGTTAAGTTTGCAAAGTGTTAAGAGAGAGCCTTAATCATTTGCTTAGTGCCTATTTATAGGTAAAAGCAATGGCACATTCCTTCAAAATTTGGACCTTGGTACTAATAGGAATAGGTAACTATTAGCATCATCAAGGGACCAAAAGTTCACCTCATTGTAGGAGAGTAGGGGAGTGAGTGCTCCATGTTATGCGGAGATCATAGAAAGAGGCATTGTGCCTTTAACTGTGGTGTCCTAGTTAATCTTTGCAAGGCTGGTTAACTATTAGGCTTACATTCTTGTTAAAACTAAATTGGGCCTCAATAATTCCTTCTTTAAGCCTTGCGCATCACATTTAGTCAAAACAATTGAAATAAACCTATGTAATGAAATTTTAATCTTCTTAAAGTATAATAATTTGGGATAGAGGGAGTATATTAGTATTTTAAGATTTTATATCAATGCGACAGTGGCTAGTGCATGCAAGTTGATCTTATTTAAACAAATCATTGAAATATTTGTATTGTAAAAGATAAAGTAAATAATGATATTTTTGTAACATATTGATGAGAAGTTATCCACTATAATTATATCAACAGACAACAATTATGCTCCTTCCAATCTAAATTATAAGTAATTTTTAACAATGATTTGCATATTAATAAAAAAATTTCTTTTATAAAAGTATATATTTTTTTCATTTTTAATATCAGTTTCAATTTATCATAAATAGGAAGAGGGTAATAAATTTAGATACACGAGAATCTAGATTAATAAATTAAAGGAATAAATTAAAAAATTTCTTTTATAAATTATTGAATTGCTTATGTTTTGAATCAAGATTGATTAAAAGAAAATACTTATATTTTGAATTGAAGTAAGTATAATTATATAATTTTTAAAGAAATTGAAGTTATGGGATATTAATCAAATAAATTTCTAATTTTACAACTACTCAGTAATACTTACAATGTGAGAAATCTCAAAAAACTATATATTTTATATTAGATAGAAAAAATCTACACGAAAAACAAGCATAGGTATGGGAATAGGAGGTAATTATATTATATGAAGTACACTATGATGTTTTGCAAAGATTAAAACTTTTAAATTTCATTCACAATATTCCCACGAATTAAATCAACTTAAATGAAATATTATAATAAATATAAATCAAAACACTATACCTAACTACGTCTATGCATTCAATAAAATTTAAAAAATAAATCACATTATGACTTCTAAAGTGTACTCCCTCTGTCCCAAATTATAAGATGCTTTTAGAAAAAATCTCACATATTAATAAGCCTCATTAAATATACTTAATAACTTTATCTTTCTAAAATAAAAATATAAAATTTTAAAAATATCCATCATTTAATATATTGAAAAGAAAAGAGACAGAAATTAATTATAGAGATAGAAAGGGTAATATTGAAATTGATGTATTTAGTGAAACCTTAATTTACTTAAAGTGTTTTATATTTTGAAATGAAAAAACTCTTTTAAAAGCTTTCTATAATTTGAGACGAAGAAAGTACAAATTTGTATAAATTTTAAAATTTATATTAATATATAAATATATAAAAATAATTTGTTTTATAATCTTTGAATATGCATTTCATCTAAAGTTCTATATAAATGTACAAGAAACCCCTTAATATTGGGAAAATGACAAAAGGGTCCCAAAATACCAATTAATTTAAATTAAGTTTTAAGTGTCAAATTTTAAAAATTTACAACTCTATTTTTTAATTTTATAATTGTATTGTGATAAATTTATAACTTATTTTTTAAATTTTAACATGGATGAAGAATAAAAAAATTTATCTTCTCTGTTAAAATTTAAAATATAAGTTATAAATTTATCATAATATAAGTCTAAAATTAAGAGATTGAGTTGTAAATTTTTAAATTTTGACATATAAAACTCGACATAAATTAATTAATTTTTTTAAAATCTCCCTATCATTTTTTTTATTTTATTTATAAAATTGTGCAAATATTTGCTCAAGCAAACGCCGGTCTGATTTAGTATTGGACCAATGGCCACATATGGACTCAATTAACTCTTGGGCTAGTTCAACTATGGAAGCATGATATAGAAAGACCACTAGAATAAAGAAATGCCATTTTAAAACCATGAATTTGGATGTTAATACTAAATTGCCCTTACGCAATTAGCAATATGACTCAGTTGTAAAATTTAGAAGGTCAGTTTAAATTTAGAAAGATTAGTTGTAAATCTTAAAAGTTTGGTTGTGAAAAGGTTGTAAATTACAAAAATTTTGTAAATTTTAATAGCTCAATTGTAAATATTGAAAGAAAGTTGCAAATATGTTTTAAATTGCTAAAAATTTATAATTTCAAAAGTTTAATTGAAAAATGGGAAACGACAATAATTGAGTTTTCAATATTTATAATCGAGATCCGCAGATTTATAAAGCTTTCACAATCCATAATCTATTTGCAATTAATATTTTAAAGTTTAAAATTAAGTTTTCACAATTTAAAACTGAGTTATTTTATCAACCATGCAAAGAGCTTTTTCATTTATTATTTTTGCCATGGTTCTTCACTATTGGTTCACAAATTTGTGGCCCTTTAGTGTCATTTCTCCAGGACCCTTTTTGTGTAATTCTCCCATAAACTATTTTTTTTTGTGTAAAATGTAAATTTAAAGTTTCAGTTCAATGTCTTAATTTTATAAAGTATATTTTTAATTATTTAATATTGCTATCATTAATTTCAATCTATTATTTTTTGTGCTATTCATTATTATTTTAAAAAATTAAATATAATGTGTCAATATTTGAAAAAAATTAATATGGACAATTCAATATAGAAATTTTTTATTGGTGAAATTAATTAAAAAGATACTTTTTAAAATTTAGATACCAAAATGAAATTTTATGTAAAGTTAAATGAATAAAGAAGCACTTTAACTATTTAATTTTTATATTGATTATACTTACTCCCTCCATTCAAAAATGTAAGGTATTTTTTAATTTGATAAGTTTGATGTTCAAAAATTTAAAGTATTTTTAGTCTTTCGAGGTGTAATCATTTCTTTTTTTTCAAAAGTGTTCCTATTGAAAATAATTTTATATTTATTATAGGGTGTTTAATAGGAATAAATATAAAAAAATAGAGTTAGTTGAAAAGTAGGTAACTATTCTATTAGGGGGTGAGATTCGATTAAAAATGTCTTACATTTTTTAAGGGAGGAAGTATATAGTTTTACATAAAAATATATTTTAAAGGTATGTCTAATTATTAAACTATCATACATGCCAATGATATAATCAATAAGTGAAAGAAACTCAAGTTTTTAAACAAATTATTAGACATGAGCCTTGTAAATGAAAAATAAAATTTCAGATTAGGTTACTTTCCGTTTGAGGGCCTCAAATACCAAAAGCTGTAGTAGCTTTGATAGTAGATAATTCTTAATATACATACACGCAAAAACATTTTAATGTTAGCTTTTTGTATTATTTAAAAATAAATTGTATGATATGTAGTCTTACATTTTATTTTGTTAATAAAATAGTTGAGTTGAAGCACACAATTGAGAAAATTTCAAAGGTGATACTGTATTTTTGGGGGTAGAGACACATTGCAACAGAAAAAACCACACGTTAAAAAATAAAATAAAACAAAGTAAAGCCTTTCACTTTTGACCACAAGATGGGAGGTCAAGATTAGAGAAGATTCTCTATTTCTGTAAAAACAACATAATCAGAAAGCAACATAGTTTTTCAGTTCTTCTGAGACACCACGAAATCCTAATGGTAAATGCATTTCATCTTCTCCTTGATCTCTCTAATATGAATCTAATATTCTCTTCTCTTTCTTATCCGTCAACATGGAGCTCTACATGATCTTTTAACTTCTCTTTTTGGCCAGAAATCACAATCCTTTTTCTTCGTGCTTTTGGACAATCTGTTTTTCCTTTAGTGCTCTAGATTTCCCAAAGGATCTCTTTTCACGCCTTGCGCATATCATCTATTTGCATTATTGCTCGTGAAAAATATTTGCTATAAAGCACCAATTCTACTGTGTGTGATAATATTATATCATGGTTGAAGCTGCATTAGATGTGTGTGTGTGTAATTCCAAATACAATTTGTAAATTCGTTGGCTTCTTAATTATATTGCAGATTCACTTTGTGATTCTTATCAGTAGACAAGGGAAAGTAAGGCTTACCAAATGGTATTCACCTTATTCCCAAAAGGAGAGATCCAAGGTATTCCTCAGATTTGAAACCAACAATCATTGTATTACCAACACTGATTCTTCCTTTTTATGTTGTTCTGAATTCCAAATACTCTACAATATATGTTATTTTGTCTTTTGAATCATCTGATTAAGTGCCTCCATTATTATTAATGGTTCTTTGATGAAGTTAAATAAAAGATATAGATAATTAATTACTATGTGTTATGGGTTTTTTCTATTATTACATAATTAAGGAAATTTAAGTGTTGACAAAGAAGTTACATTTTGAAATCTTTTGTACCATTGATCCTTACCTCTATTTTCCCAACACCCCATGATAAGTGATAACCCCATAGCTTTTATAATTGTCCACTGTTTTTATGGTCAAAAAGTTAGAATTTGGATTCTTACATACTTTTGATTCGGACCTATTTTGCTTTCTCTCTCTCTCTCTCTCTCTCTTAAATGAATGGTGCATTACAGCAGCAAGAATCGCAATCCAAATTGCATTATATTACCTCTTTGTGATCCACTGCTTAGTTTATTTCTTGTTCTGGTTTGTCATTTATGGTGTTGAGTCAATTACCAAGAGTTATAAATGGTACAGAAATTAATTAAGTTACATGGATTTTTTTTTGGTTTCCTTTGGAAGGTGTTGGGCCAATTTGATTGATTCTGTACTGAAAAGTCCTAAGAACATGTAATTATCCACTGCTATGCTTGGCCTGTTTATCTTGTTCTGATATCTTTCATTTTGAAAGGTTATTCGAGAGCTAAGTTCGCAAATTCTTCCTCGCCCTCCAAAGCTTTGCAACTTTGTGGAGTGGAGAGGACTTAAAGTTGTTTATAAAAGGTAGGAAAAGACTGTTACCGAATTGGCAGCCATTAACAGAAAGTTATGGGTGTTATTGGTTTTGGTTTTGGTTTATGTTTAGATATGCCAGCCTCTACTTCTGCTTCTGCATTGATCAAGATGATAATGAACTGGAGACCCTTTCCATTATTCACCATTACGTTGAGACACTGGACCGTTATTTTGGTAGTGTGAGTATTTCTTAAATCTCCCCTTTTTCAAATTCTACTGCATTGCCCATGTCCAAAGTTAACGACTGTATTGGTTTTCTTATCAGGTCTGCGAGCTGGATTTAATCTTTAATTTCCACAAGGTATATATCTAACCTCAACTTATTTTCATGTATTTTCTTTTTGTTCCAAATTGTGCATATAAACATGTGCTTGTTCTTTTTTAATTGTTAGATTTGCTTCATCCATCCCTACCTTCAAATTACGAGTGTCAGGAATGTAAACTGATCACGTTTATGATAGTTTATTCCGTCAGGTTCATTTGTATTCATCAGTTGAATAATAAAAGATGAAGCTTTCATTCTGATTCTTATAATGTTCAGTCGCCTGTCGCTGTTTCTCTGTAGCTAATGATGAGACTCTAAATGGTTCAAAAATAATCATATCATATCTGGTATACATTCATCTTAGACTGCACTTCAAATTATAATGAAATACTATGTTTCTCCGCATGCCCGAGGGTTGTCTTCCACCAAAATAGTTTAGCTCACTTAATTAGACATATCTCAAGCTTTGTATTTCATACCAATACAACGCTTCATGCGTTTCAAGTCTAGGTTATATGTCATGGCATGAGCATGCGCATGAACTCAAATCATTGATTAGGGATGGTGACGAGAAACAAGAGAAAAATGGTGTCGTGCCTTGCCGATGTTGCTTTTGGATTCAATACGTAATGATTCCGAAAGCTTTGATCATGGCAGGCATATTATATGCTGGATGAAATTCTGCTAGCTGGACACGTGCAGGAGACTAGCAAAAGAACAACTTTGAGACTAATAGTTGCGCAGGTATGAATGTTGTTAATTGAATGATGACAATAAGAATACAATAGACGTTCTATATCTAGTGTTTTGTGAATCCAAAAGAGAATGATTTTTCCTTATAATACCATCCAGGACAAAGATTAATGATGTTGGATTAAACATTTCCTTTATCCTATCATACTCTGTTTCTGAATTCAAATTTAATGACAAAAATGTTGGTGTGATGGTATGGATGAGGTGCAGGAGGAGCTGGTGGAAGCAGCTAAAGAGCAATCCAGTTCAATAGGCAACATTATTGCACAAGCCACCAAATAAGAGCTTCGTTTCTTACATTGGCTCTGTGTTTCATATTACCAAGTGCTGACAATGTGATTGGTGCGCATCCATGTGTTTCCCTGTACTATTTTGCAGCCAATAATTTGTTCAAAGACGCAAGTGTCTCAACATCCTAGCAATTAATCAGCACAAATGTGAAACAGTTTATATGTTTTCTTTTCTTTTATTCTTTTCCTTTTTCTTGTGATTACCGTATAGAAGCTTTAAAATGCTTTGGAATAGAAATTGAAAAGGAGACATGGGATCAAATAACTTTCATGCGTATGAACTCACGTATGAGGAATCTACTATTTATTTTCTTCTAATTTCTCTCCCCTTCACCCCATAAAATACTTTGGGAGATCCTAATTTAACTATTACTCAACCTATGTAATTTTCAACTAATTTTTTTTATATTAGTTTTTAAACATATCAAAATTATATATAGCACATTTGTTTCGTGAAAGAAAATGAAATCCATTCCATTGAGAGGAAACAAAATCGGAAATGTTTATTATGGTTAATATATCATGTAACACTATCAGTTATTTTCTTGGGGCAAAAATCAAATATAAAGTAAATAATAAAGGATGATCACCTCCCATTCATCAAATAAAATTACTAAATACTAATTCTGAGTTCATGTTTTCATAATTATAAAGATAACGATGGCACATAATATGGATGAGTAGCATGACCAAGGGCATGATAGGCATATATTAATGATGGTGTCATCATAAACGAGAGCAACCATCACTTGGGATCTGGAATCAACATGGCAAAGGGTTAGGGAAGTAGCAACTAGTGGAGGGTGGTGTTGGCGGCGGCGGCGGCGAGCATCTTGGCGGAGAGGCCACAAGTAATAGCGTCGGAAGGAATGTGCTTGACGCGATCCACGCCTTCGGCGAATATCACCCCCATTCCCATGTGCAGGTGAGGCTCTATGTGACAGTGGAACGCCCACACCCCGGGGTTGTCAGCCACGAATCTCAGCGCCGTCCACCCGTACGGGAATATCACCGCCGTGTTCTTCATCGGCGGGTTCTTAAGGTTCAGCTTCTTCTCGTCCGTCTTCGGATGGAACCTCCCGTGCCCATACCCCAACACCCAAAAATCATGCCCGTGCAAGTGCCACGGATGGATCTCGCTGGAGGTACTGTTCAACACGTTCGCGTTCTGCAGGATCACGTCCACCACCTGGTTCATTTCAAACACGTAGACCCCGTTGCCGGTGACGGTGTTGGGGTTGGCCGGCGGCTTCATGATGTCGTACTCGGCGGGGAAGTTGTCCGGAGGGGAGCGGGGGTCGAAGGCGCGTGGGATCCTGTACTTGAGGGAGGCCAGGTAAGGAGTGGAGGGGAGGGACAAGGAGACGTTGTTGATGGCCCACTTGGTGAAGCCGTCGACAAGGTTCTGGGTGTTGAGGAGGATGAGGCGGCGGTGGAAGGTGGGGGGAGGGGCGGGGGAACCGATGAGGGAATAGAGCTTCTCGGCGAAGGACTGGCTCCGGTTATAGTCGTTCCAGAGAGGAGTGGTGGGAGGGGGGGAGGAAGGGAGCTTGGAGGCGGAGGTTGGGTGGTAGTTGAGGAAGGTGAGGGCCTGAGGGGTGCTGGGCTTCCTGCCACGGACGCCGATGGCAATCCAGTAGTTATGGGAAGGGTCTTGGTCTGTGGTCACCAGCACCGAGTAGCTCTCGCCGGAGTATATGTCTATGTCATCCACTGCGAATGGTTTCACGTAGTTCCCGTCCGCCTCCACCACCACCATTTTGTGGTTCTGCATCAACCGCCACAATTACTCCATCCATTCTCATTCATTAATAGATCATAATTAATCCCTAATTACAATGCCATTTCATGAGTTGGTGTATTTAATGATACCCGCACAAAAAACCTTCTGAATAAATTAACGGTTTTAGTTTTTTCTATTAAGAAATCGGTGTTTATAGTTGTGATCAACTTGACTAAATTAAACTTCCGAATAAATCAGTGTATTTAATGATACCCGCACAAGAAATCAGTGTTTAGAGTTGTGATCAACTTGACTAATGCTCCTAATAATGACGTGCAATTATGTGTTTTTGATGTGGCAATAATATATGTTAATAATAAAAATTTTGACTAAAATTGACCACAATTGCAGCAACGAATTCATTATAAGGGCCTTGATCTCTTTCTGCCAGAATAACTAAAGCCCTTGATCCAACTTGACCAAAATTTCACCACTAAAAACCATGTTTCTTGTGGTGTTCCTAACTTTCTGTATATGCACAAGATTATTTAAAAACTTTCAGGAGGAATAAATGATTATTTTTTCAGGTAAAAAATGATTTTTTTTAAATATCTTTAACTATTAAATAAAAAAGACTTGGCCCAAAATAAACGTTAAAGTTAAAAAAAAATTGATGATTATACATTGAGGTCAGAACTCAGAACAAGTGGAGGGTTTCATTGACACATTTTTTGTAAAATATCGGACATCAACCATTCATTCAAACTTGAAAGGGAACACTCTTTTGCACAATATCCCGTCATGCTTGAGATTCTAAAATTGCGTTTCCACTTTTTTAGGGAATAGTCAAATCAGTACGACCGGGATAAACATAATTTAATAAAAGCAGTGAAACCAGGTCAAAGTAAAATGATTTGATGTTGCATGTAGGAACGTTAAGGGGAAACCTAGAGGAAGAAAAATCTGCAATAATTCGTGATACCACTCTATTCGATAGCTTTTGTCAGTATATAAGCGTTTTTTTTCCAGTGTTCCCTATCAATCACCACAATCCCATTTATAAAGGTCGTCCAATACTTCATTATTAGTCTCTCGCCACTACTAGTGCCAGTCCCTACCAGGCTACCCTGTCGTGCTTCAACGTTCCCAGCTTTTCCCCACCCAGTTTATGAAAAACACAATCATTCAAAAATGACACTCACGAAAATACGCCATTCGAAAGTGAGATCCACCACCCCACTTCTGTGCAATGCCATCCATTTATTCATTTATTTCTGTCAAAGTTTTAAAAATTGAACAGAACATTTAACATAAAAAGTCAATCGTTCACAACCACATAATTCAATCAAATTGTATCAATAGGCATAATAATTAAATTAAAAAAATTATATATATATATATAATCATTTATATATATAATAAATATAAAATTATTACTTCACATACAAATAAAGCAAAATATTTTAAGTTTATTATAATTTAATAAATCAGATGATATAATATAATATTAAATAATTAAAAAAATTAATTATTTTTTAAAAAAAATTGATGAAAAAGTTTTTAAAAAAAGAAAAAGGAAATTTTGTTCAATAATTCAGTTTTTGAAAGTCATACTTAGTTCTTGGCTTGATCTCATTTTGATTGGCAGTTTAAAATAATTTAATTAGACCCAACTCTCTAAATAATTTTTTTAATTTGACTTAACTATTAACTTGATTGATTGACAGTCCAACTAAACTGACAAGTCAGTTTAATTTTTTAATCATTGATTTGTATTGTGAAACCATAACATTTAAAACTAGTTGAATCAAAAAATTGTGGAATTAAGTGCCCTGATTTCATCGTCATTCAAATATTTTATTCACGACATTACATTATAATTTTAATCATTAATTGATCTAGAGTTTTTGAAATTGGAGTGAAACACCAAATAATATGCTCTCTACTATAATCTGAAAATTTCCCCTCCATCCATCTGTCTGGATCATGGATCTACGGTGAGGAATGAACATTTATTGAGAGCCATGCTTGCATTATAATCCAAATTATTATTTTCCATAAGTTTTCTTAACCTCCTCACAAATAGTTCGTGTCTCTATTTTCTGTAACGTGTGCATTTCAGACTGACCGTCGTTCAGACTTCAGAACCACTTTACAGACTGTCTCTGATTTGCTCTGAGCTTCTTTTTTTTTTTTTCTGTTTTTTCTTTTTTACCTGAGTTTTTCTCTTAGCTATAATCTAGCTCCTAGAGAGACTAGTAATTTATAATTTCTTTCATAATTTATAATAACTGCATCCCCAATTATTTATCGCTATCCAAAGCCTAAGCACGCATCCCTCGAATAAATATTTTAATCACACTGATTAGGTGCTCGCTTGAATTTGAGTTAAATATAATAAATTATAAAAATAATTAATTAAATGATAAATTTTAATCATAATTAATTATGTTATAATACAATTTGTTTGGCTCATATCAATAATTTTTTTTAAAATTTAAATTTTACTAAGAAAAAAAAAGTTTTGTTTTAATTTTATTAAATTTTGTGCTTGTTTTGTGATTTTTTTTTAGACTTTTTATATAATTTATTCATATAACTTTATAATAAAAACACGCAGTGGAGAAGTTGGGATTTAGAGCATTGAGAAAAAATTAATTTTTTGGGAAGAAATCGAAGAGGTGGGTGCTTGGATAAACTATAACTTAATCAATTTTTTTATCCCTAAAATTGATTAAGTCCTCAATCCAAACAGGCAGTAAATTAGTTAGTAAGGCTAGTTGAGAAAAGGCTGGACCCAGGGACTAATGGGATTGGGACTTTTAATAGTAAGATAAAAAAGTCTGACTTCTGGCTCGATGTACAGTAAATAAATAAAAAAATGCCAACCTTTCCCTGTCACGACTCCGTCCTTCTTTCATCGGCTGTTCTTGCTAACGTCTTCACGTGAAATGAAAGCAAGCATGCATTCCTCGACTGACTTAAACCTTTTTTTTTTGCCGATGAAGATCAAAGTGTCGGAGCACCGACTTGATACTAATAAAAAATAACGGTAAGAAAGCTTTCTTCTTTCATTTGAAAAATTAGATAAATCTTTTTCATTATTAGCTGAAATAGAAGGTTGACACTATCTATTAGAAGTGATCCAAGATCCTAAAAAAATACTTATAGAAATATTCATAGAAGTAGATCAAGTTTAATAATTAAAGGGGGAGAGGGTTGGACTATAGGGATTTAGCAAGATCCAAACAAGAGAGTTACAACTCAAAAAATACTTGAGGAAGTATTGATCTTTAAATCCAAGACAGGACTTTAGATTCATCCTATACTACTTTTACTGGATAGGAGTTATACTCTTACCAACTAAATCATCCCTAATAATTTTATATTACTTTCATTATCTCATTCAAGATTCATGCAAGTTACCGAGTACGGACTATTTAGAGAGTCTGTGTATAGGAGATGAGGGGCTAGGATTTGGATCAGCATTTCAATTACATTTTCATTCAAAAATTTAAAATAATTCTTATTATCAGAACATTTTTTATGACTTCTATTCCCTCCAAAAAATTTGAGTTTTTTTTTTTGGGTATTGACAAAATCACTTAATGGTTATTATTATTGTGTCTATTCATTTAGCACGTTGATTTTGACCGCCACCAAATCCAAATCCAGAGAAAGGCATAATATTCAAAATCAGGTTAACCCGGTAATTACCAGGACATTGAACTGTAATTAATAAAACATTTTAGTCATGATCATTTTAACCAGGATTTGTTTCGGGCATTAAACTTTAAATTAGTATCTTAACGGGATTATTCGGGTTAGAGGGAGAGATGGAAATGGAACCTGAATGGCCAAGTTGAGGGAAGCCAAAGCGGTGGAGCTGGCAATTCGGATACGGTAGGTGTTGTTGGGAAGGACGTGCAGGATTTGGGGAGCACACTGCTCATTGCCTCTGAACCTGCACTTTGGCAGCGTCGTGTTGATCATCCCGGCTGCCAGCGAGCAATTGTACTGCCCTCTTCCATTTATCAGCAAACTCTCCGGTTCTCCGATCCACCGCATCGGTCTCGCCGACAGAGACACTTCCTGGTGGTGAGAGCTCTGGTGCCACCAGTCACTCAGCAGCAGGTTGAACTCTCCGTCGTAGTGGAACGGCTCTCTCTTCCCGTCTTCCAACTCCACTATCAGCGACCCGTACAGGCCCGCCGATCTCTGCATGCCGTAGTGCCCGTGGTAGAAGTATGTTCCTGCCTTGTCCACCACGAATCTGAAGTGGAAAGTCTCTCCGGGGTTAACGGCGCACTGTGATATGGAAGCGGTTCCGTCCGCCCACGGCGTCCCCTTCTGGCGGATGCCGTGCCAGTGGATGACGACTCCCTCGGTGGAGAGCTTGTTGGTGAGTGCGACGTCGATGGTGTCTCCGACCTGAGCCCGGATGGTGGGGCCCGGAAACTGGCCGTTGATTCCCATCACAACGCTCTCGATGCAGTCCGGCAAGCCGTACATGTACTCCACGTCCCACTTGTAGTGCCTCACTTTAGCTGCTGATACAGCCTGTAGCCCCAGCAAGAAGAAAAGCAGCGAAACGAAACGCACCCACTTCATAACTCTCACCCTCATGCTCATGCTCATGCTGCTGCTACTTCCCTTGCAGGAAATTCTATATTCCTGTTTGGGATGCTCCTAGCATGAACAGCATTGCTACTTTTATAGCACTGCTTCTAACTATTTGTTTGGCTCCCATGCTTTCTCTCTTTAGATATCACATCTTTTAATTTCTTGGTCCAGAAAAGATCTTTTTGTGTAACTCGTTTTATAATGAGTGTGGTAATTCAATTGCCAAGTGGTAAAAATAATTGAAGTAGACTTATTAATGTTCTCTCTTTTACTTATAAAAAAGATTGCTAATTTCTCCTAAAAATTGACTTATATATGTGGGATTGGAGGAAGTATACATACACTTCAAATTTAAATTATTTTGAAAAGAGCATGAACGCGCAAGATGATATCTGACTCTACTCGATCTGATGCTATTTATAAAGTGTTTTACAAAAATAAAAATAAATTGAATCATTAGTTGTCAACCAATCCAAGATGAATTAATCTTCTGCTTTTGCGTTTAACTTGCAAAAGCATTTGCACAAATAACAAAAAAAAAAAATAGGGGGGGATGACTCGTTGTCTTACTTTAATTACTAAGGAAATTTAGAATATTTTTTAGAAAATAAAGAATCAAAAGAATTTTTTGCAGAACACGTGAAAAATCTTTCTGAGAATTTAATTTATTTAAAAATAGTGGACATTTAAAAAACATGAAGGAATGGTGAAAAGTTAAATAACTTATCCAAGGCAAGGCTGTGTGAACTGTTAGGTCAATGAGGCAATTGTTTTAGGCCTCCAAAAACATTTATCCATATTTTTTCCGTTAAATATTAATGTTAATTACATATTTTTATTTGAAAGTGGGAGTTTTGTTTAAAAAGAAAAAACACAAGTTATGATTTTAAGTATTGGCTATATCAGGTGTGTTTGTTCTTCTTTCATTTTTCATTTGAAATTGTGATTGTTTTAATTTTTTATAGGACGTAAAGTGGCAAAATGTTAAATAAAAAATTTGAATCTGATTTTAATAAATTGAAAAAATGATATAAAAATATGTGAATGATAATATATTAGGTCTTTTGGATAATCTTGCCAAATGTCCCAAAAGTCCTTAGCACGCCCTGATCCAAGGTGGTGACCAAGCATAGAGATATATAAAGGCGTGGAGTAGTGCAGGCTACTAGCGGCCGAATCTTCTTTTTCTCTTCTGCGATTCTGCCCTCAACTTGCTTCCGGGTTGACACCCACACCATGTGGAGGCAGATCCTAAATCCGTTAACTATTGGCAAACATTACAAGTAACGTTCTGAAAACCAGACCGGATCAAATTGGTCATTTCCACCACTTGAATTGGAAACCAATCCCAGGCCTAATCCAATCATAGCAGGAAACTGGCAATTTTAAGAGTCGGTCAAAACTGGTGAAACTTGCAAATAAACCAGTTGAGCTGGACATATTATTTTTTATTTTTAAAAATTTTATTTCATATTCTTAAACTATAATTTATGCATATTTATACCTAAAAAATACTAAGAAATGAAAACAAATGAACAAATAGGTAAAGAATATGTATAAATGATGTACATATTTTAAACTTATTTAAAACATGAATTATGAAATGTGTGTGTATTGATGAAAATGATGGACTATTGATGAATATTATTTTTTTACAGTATATTATTTTATTTGAAATTTAAATATTCATTATTATTATTATATATGATTTTTTATTTTAAATATTTAATGTTAAAATATATTAATTTATTTATAATTGGTCGGATTACGACCCAACCATTAAACCATGCATGAATCAATGTTCCAACCAATTCAATGGCTAGTTTGAATTTCTCAACATCATTAGGACAATTCGGTTGATGTCAATCTGCTTTCTTTAATTATTCCACTTAAACTTTCCCAAACCTTATTTAAAAAAAATTATTTACCTATCGGTCCACAATCTTACTCGAGACGGGTTGTCGTAATTTAAATCCCACGTGCTTCAACCAGAACCCCAACTATAATGGGACTCATTCCGCTGTGTTCAACTTGGAAACAAAGGCCACAAATATTTCTTAAGGCTGTTTTGGGTATTTAATTTGTCCATCTCTGACTCCTATTTATTCTGCCAAATATCTAAATAAAAAAATAATATAATATTTTCATTCCATTTGAAAATATCCTTCCAACGAAGTGAATGCGACCTTGAACTTATTAATTCAATTACTTTAATTACCTTGTGCCTTTCTTTTTCTTCACTTTGTGAACCTTGTATATATATAATACAAAATTTATATGAAATAATGATATTCACAAGCCATGAATATAGTGCAACACATGCAAGATTAAATGTAAAATACGTGTGAAATCCATTCTTCAACAATTGATGCTAACTAAAATTGTATTCTACCAAATGAGAAATTCCTACGTACTCTAGTCCATTTTGATTATAATTGGGAATACGGGCGGGTCCGACCTTTAAGAGTTTGGGCCCTTGACCTCAGTTTTTCATTTTTAACCCCTTTTCTAAAGTCTGATTCTTATATAAAGGGCTCAGAGCCGGACCCAGAAGCCTTGTTCTAAAAAATTAAAAAAATTAAAATATAATTAAACATTATAAATTAATTAAAATATTTTAAAATTAAAAAAAATTCTCACAATATTTAAAAATTAAACAACATATTTAGAATCTAAACAACATATATTCATCAATCAAAATCCAAATCCTCCTCATCCTCATCATCTACAAATAAAACATTAAATTCCTTAGATGTAAGTGCACTTGTTGAAGATGAAGATAGAAATTCAATGTCAATTATTTTTACAACTTCTTCTTCATCACCTATAATAAATATTAAACAAACTGTCATTATCAATCAAATATATGTATGTACTGTGTATATACATATATAAGATAATCAAGCATATCAAAGTTTGGAGGGCTGCCTGGGCCCAAACCCTTTTTTATAGGGCTTATCAGGGCCAAGCCCTCAAGCCCAGTTTTTTTAAAAAAATAATTTTAAAAACTTAAACTCTTATTTAAACAGAACTTGCAGGCCCAACCTTTATTCTCAACTCTAATTTTGATGAACCAAATACTATTTTATTTAATTCATATTTCTTGTGACAACCTTTTTCAAGGTTTAACCTTGTTTTAGTTCCTCCATCTCTTAAATTAATTCCTCTTCATGTTATAAGCATTCAACCTAAATTTATCTCAGCCTAGCTTTTTTACCAATGAAAACAAATATAGATGATTCTTAATGTATTATTATTTCAAAAGAATAATAAAAAAGATCATATTGCTAAATATTTCACACCAATTTATAAGATACTTTTAGACAACATCACATATATCAATAAAACTCGTTAAATATATTTTACAATCTTATTTTTAAAGACAAAAATATAAGCTTTCACAATAGGCACCGAATAAAACCTTATTTTTGTGAAAATATTTTATATTGTGAAACGCCTAAACTATCCTAAAATTGTCATATAAATTGGCATGGAGTTCGTAATTATCAATGATAAAGAAATAATAAACATATAGAGTAGGTAAGAGAGGAATGACTAATCATAATATAATGAAGCAATATATGGCACGCGAGATTTGTGACATATCCAAAGATAGTTTGAAACATTTTGGACTGGTAATGTATAAACAAGGAAGAATCACATTTAAAGATTTAGAAAGAAAGTCATTCGTATAAATAAGGAAGAATCACATTTAAAGATTTGGAAAGAAAGTTATTCATAAATAAAGATTAATAATAAGTCTCATTTAAAAAAAACAAATATATATATTCTCATTTTAACAAACAATCTGTTCTATATTTATCTTTATCTATAAACAATTTTTTACGTGAAATGTTGAAGATTGAAAAGATATAGAGTGGAAAAGAGAATTATATATATTATATATGTTGAGAAGATAAAGAAGAAAGAGATGAGATAATTAAGGAGGAGTGGGGTGAGTGCATGTGCGAATGGAAACAAAGCGAGGGCATGACGAAGAAGAAACGGAAAGCAGGCCAGGGAGTTCAGTACAAAAGAATATGAATAATGAAGCACGTGCCAATATTCATGTGTGACTCTGCTTTAATCATTCCATTGATGGGTTTTTCATCATAACAATAACAGTGGTGGGTGGAACCCAGAAGCCCCACACGCCCCCTCCTGACCTTCTTCGCTTCTCCTTTACTCTTCCCCGACGTCCGACTTTTATCACATGAATGAATAAAACATTATATAATAATGCATGCATATTTCAATCATTTTTTTTAATAATTTCATGAATAGCTGAATTAAGGTACATATGACGCAACAAAATATACATCTGTAATTTGGTATTCCCTTTGTGTTTTATGTCTATATTTTCGACAGTCATTTAATTAAATTGACGATCATGAAAGACATTTATTGGATAAGAAGATTTGGGATACTCATGTCAAAATCCAGATTCTTCCTACCGCGTCTTTTCTCTTCCACATTCTCATGCATGTTTTACACAGAATTTAAAAAAAGCCCCGCTCTATTTATGAATAATATTTTTTTCCATTCTCATGTTACAAAATAACACACACACACACCCCTTCTCTAGCTTAGCCTGGGCTGTAAATTGCATAATAAAGCTTACTTGCCCTAGCTTCGTGAATATTGAACACAAATTCAGAGTAATTCGCTGCAACGTCTTTTTTCCCTACAAAACTGAAGATATTGCGATGCCACATCCTGCAGGAAAGAAGAAGAAGATCTAGAATATAGAATCTTTCTTTTAAAAAAAAAATCTATTCTTTTTTTGTCAATTACATCAACATATTTAAATGAACTTGCTATTTTGTCTTGGTCGCATTTAAAACCACACAAAAACCTAAATGCATGTCGCATTTCATTTGAGAAAAATCACATAATATATATCCAATTTTTGACTGGACTTTGCGCAAGGCAATACTCTTTAGATTGAGAAAAGAAGTAGAAAGGCTCGAATTAATTTTGGGAGAAGTGGAAGAAGATGAGGATAAAAGCCTCTCCATGGCTTCTCTAAGCAAATTATTAAAAGGAGAAGAGGAAGAAAGTCTCTTGGATAAAGCTCCAATTCTGAAGTCTTCAAATTATTAAAACCTTCTAAGGTTTTGCTTTTT